ATATATTATCCCTGCCCATTCTGCTGCAGGAGAATAATGGTGTAGGGAAGGAAAAGAACAGGACGGTATTTTTCCAGGCCTTCTTCCCAACAAAGAGGAAAAAGCTATTGGCAAAGGACTGTGTGTTATGCTAGGCACTGAATCTTTCTCTCTGGTAATATCTAAAATCCTCCAGTGAACTCAGAAATTAGACTCTGGGAAATCTCTTCACTAAACTAAAATTATGAATAAATAAGAACATAGATGCATAACCCTTTTATGGAATATGATTTGAAGTGGCAAAAGACAAAAACACTAGAAACTACTTGGATATGTATTATAGGGGAATACATAAACAATTCTATATATAAACTATGAATATTATGCATAAAATAAGTTATATATATATATATGGTTTGAATGAACTGTTAAAAAAACAAATTATTTTTAAATGAGTTTATAAGTCCCATTTAACAAGAGTATGACAAAAATCTTTTTTTAAAAATATATTTTATTGATTTTTTACAGAGAGGAAGAGAGAGGGATAGAGAATTAGAAACATCGATGAGAATCATCGATCAGCTGCCTCTTGCACATCCCCTACTGGGGATGTGCCCACAACCAAGGTATATGCCCTTGACCGGAATTGAACCTAGGACCTTTCAATCCACAGCTCAACGTTCTATCCACTGAGCCAAACCGGTTTTGGCAACAAAAATCTTTAAATATGTTAATATATTACACACAGGTATATGGCATATATATATAGAGGTATGCATATACCACATATATAATATGTATATATAGATACACACACATACACATAGATAAGGGTGTGGAGAGATTATAGCCCAAAATATTTACATTTGTAAGGGGGGCAGATTAAACAGAAAAGGGAGATATTGTTGACTGATTGGCACAATGGTTTTATATTTTTGCCTCAAGCTGGCATTAGTTTTGTATTTCAAAATGAAAATCCAAATTTCACACACACACACACACACACACACACACACACACACACACCTGGAGAAAAAGAGGGAAACTGAAGCTAAACCCTGTGGCTGGGCTCCATAAATCTTTTCTTAAACTGATGAGCCTGCAGAGTGAAAGCGCTGAAAGTTGTAGAAGCCCACGCTCTGGAATAGCCCACCCAAACTCTGTATTCTAGGGGAGGAGAAAAGTAGGAAAACACACTTTGATTGCCTCTTGGCTCTCAGCCAAAGGAGTATAAGTGGTGGGAGTGGAATTTTCCATGGCAAAGGAAGAGGAAAAATCAGGTCACATTTCCTACAGGCAGAGCCCTGTTTATTCAGGAAGATCTTGGGGGCCCTTGCTGCTCATAACAGGAGCATGTTCATTGGGTCATCCTTGATTTTTACTATTATAAATCTTTTCTTTCTCTCTTCCTTTCTCTCTCTCTCTCTCTCTCTCTCTCTCTCTCTCTCTCTCTCTCTCTCTCTCTCTCTCTCTTCCTCTCTCTATCTCTATCTTTCTTTTTGCCTTCAAGTTTGAAGGTGTTTCTTCCCAAAACAAAACTAGAGAAGAGCCCCAGAGAAGAGCCTGTGTGACCATTATTAGACTAAGTACACAAGGAAGTCAGGACAAACAAACGTAAAGAACTATTGGTTTAGGAAGGATAGTTACATCCTCCAAAAGAATCATACTTTTCTCTCTTTTACTTCGTAAAACAAACTGCATCACCAGTTTGGGGGGACTTGAGGGCCCACAAGAGGGAGCTCCTCTCGACCTCCTCTTCCTTTCTCTCCCAGCCAGGGCACTGGAACGGGAATGATGGACATTCAGAAGCCAATTTTGTAAAATTTCACTTACAATGCCCAAACCGGTTTGGCTCAGTGGCTAGAGCATAAGCCTGCTGACTGAAAGGTCCCAGGTTCGATTCCGGTCAAGGGCCTCTACCTTGGTTGTGGGCATATCCCCAGTAGAGGGTGTGCAAGAGGCAGCTGGTCAATGTTTCTCTCTCATCGACGTTTCTAACTCTCTATCCCTCTCTTTTCCTCTCTATAAAAAATCAATAAAATATATATTTTTTAAAAATTTCACTTGCAAGCAAATTCAGTGGTAGGCGTGGAGCCATAGAATCGTCTGCTTGGAAGGGACTCATCTACTCCCATTTCTACTGATATACTAATAATACTAGACTCCATTTCCTGAAGGCTTACTATCAGCCAGGTGCCCTGACACTTCACACGATCCCCATAGTAGCCCTCAGATGCAGGGGCTTCGTTTTCTTAGCTTAGATGAAGAAACAGGCTAAGTCACTCTCCGAGGTCACACAGGCAGTAAACCGATTCCACCTCTGCCCAGGTCCCCCGCCGCACGTTCTGTCACTGAAAAGTGATCACAGTCTCTGCTTGGACAGTAATGGGAGGCTCACTATGCTTAGAGGCAATTCATTGCTAATTATGAGAACATTTTTCTTTTTCTTTTTTTAATGCTGGCTGTCTTCAGTTCAGCCAGTTTTATACTTTGGAGTGCCAACCAGAATATATCTAATCTCTAGATCTCTGTGATCTGTCCTTAATTCTTTTAACTGCTTCTTTTTGTTTCTCGCCATTTCTGGCCCTACTTCTCTGTACACTCTCCTGTTTGTCAGTTTTTCGACTTAACTGCACAGCCAAAACTGCAAACAATACCCAATTGTAAGCTCCATGATGGGAGGGAATGTATCTGTCTTGTTCCCCAAATAGAGCCAGACTCTTGTCTCATTCAGGATGCTTGCGAAGTTAGCTAATGCAGTCTAGCTCTCTGCCACCTTCACTGGCAGCTCCTCCACCCCGACACTGACAACATACCCCGACCCGAGTTCGCTGTCACCCAAATCACTAAGGATCTCTCTAAAATACGGACCCAGAGCCAGGCAGGCCTTCCCAAAACTGTGTTGTTATTTTTTGTTTTTGTTTTGGTTTGTTTGTTTGTTTGTTTGTTTGTTTTGTGTGTGTGTGTGTGTGTGTGTGTGTGTAAAATAGACTTGTTTTAATTTGTTGCCCCTAGAGAAAGTGTGCTGTAGTGGAAAGAGCATAATCTTTGGCCACATACATGCATATCCAGGCTTTACTATTCACTGGCTGCATAACCTTTGATCAATCACTTACTCCAGTGTTTCTCAAACTTTTTTTTTTTAATATATTTTATTGATTTTTTTACAGAGAGGAAGGGAGAGAGAGAGAGCTAGAAACGTCAATGAGAGAGCAACATCGACCAGATGCCTCTTGCACACCCCCTACCAGGGATGTGACCGCAACCAATGTACATACCCTTGACCGGAATTGAACCTGGGACCTTTCAGTCCGCAGACCGACGCTCTACCACTGAGCCAAACCGGCTTCGGCTGTTTCCCAAACTTTTGACATATGTGTACCCCTTCTATAATTTTTGTAATGCTGAGTACCCTCGTACTGATGAGAATGTAGAATTAGGCGCAGCTAAGCATGGTGCAGTGCATATCCCCACCAAACTCCGATGCAACACATACCCCCACCAAACGCGTACCACACTTTGGGAAACACTGACTTACTCCCTCTGAGCCTCCATTTTCAGCTTCTGTAAAATGGAGATAATAATGCCTCTTTCACAGAAATTTCTTGAGGATTAAGTGAAATAATAAATACAAGGTGCCTCCATAAAATCTAAATACTTCACAAATTGTCAATTTACTCAACATAAATTTCTATCTTAAGTTCTTATACTATACATGGTGGGACAAAAGTAGGTCTACAGTTGTGAAGACATGAGACACTGTTTATTCTTGTTATTACTTCTTTATTATTTTCCATAGAAACAACTGTAGACCTACTTTTGCCCCACCCTATATGTGCTGCTTAATCGCTCAAGAACATTGCATTCAATCTGAAAAAGCAGAGAGAAAGAACATAGAAAACTCCTGGTGTTTATGTGAAGAAAACAAAATCTTGGAACTAAAACAATTAGAAAAACAAATCAAGGCTGTTCTGCAAAAAGCCACTCAGTCAGATGTCTCCCTGGCATAGTGCCAGGCCCAGAACAAACGACATGCAGTCTGCAGTTATGGAATGTTGGGGGCACAGAGAGCCATCAGGTAGGACAGGTGACATTGCAATGTCTCTGGGCCAGGTTTCCAGGGTGTCAGAAGGATATATCCAAGACAATAGCACACCTGTAGGCAGGAAAGAATCAAGGTGGGTTTGGGTGGGGAGTATGGGGGTATTAATCCATGCACTTATTCAATAAACATTATAGAATGGCCTGTATAAGCCAGATGCTGTGCTCAGCTGCTGCCCAAGCAGGAAGGAGAAAGATGCACATGCTGCCTCCCAGCAGCCTGAAGTCTAGTCTTGAAGATAGGAACATAAATATTCTCAAGGGGAAACGAAAATGTAGTGAGCCGAGGCTCAGGAGAATGGGAACTCTAATCTCTTCCTGCTTCCCTTGGACTCTGCACAAATATTTTCACCTCTATGGGACTTATTTTCCCAATTGAACTACATGTTTATATATATATATATATATATATATATATATATATATATATATATATATATATATTATTGATTTTTTACAAAGAGGAAGGAAGAGGGATAGAAAGTTAGAAACATCGATGAGAGAGAAACATCTACCAGCTGCCTCCTGCACACCCCCCACTGGGGATGTGCCCGCAACCAAGGTACATGCCCTTGACCGGAATCAGTTTGCAGGTTGACGTTCTATCCACTGAGTCAAATGGTTTTGACTAAACTACATGTTTCTTAAGGTTTGGCCTAAGCTCTCTGTGTGATGGGTTTCGTGAAGTCAGACCAAACTTGGATTCAGCAACTTGGGTTCTGGGTAGGAAAGAATTCAGAGCCAAGACTCAAACTGTAAGAAAACATTTATTGGACAAATCACAGAGGTAGAAGGAGTAATTCTAGAAGAATTCTAGGAGCTTGGCAGTAAGGAAGCTAATGGTAAGGTGCCCAGGACCCTAGAAGGAGAGAAGGAGGGGGGGGAATAAGAAAGGGAAATGCAGGGCAGCTGGTCTTGAGGCTGGTTTTGTTGCTTATCTGAGCCTGGAGCTGAAATACAACAGAGGCCTAGATAGTATCTCTAGGGAGGAAAGGTCAGGGAGTCCAAACTGCATGGCCAGGAATATGATAGGGGAGGAAAAGTCACCCTGGGGTGAGGTGCCACCCTACAATTGATTGTCCATTGCTAGGCACCCGGGGCTTTACACCTTGATGAACTTCTGTCTCTGGCCCATCGTCATATCTCTCTAACTGCCTACCACATCTGTATGGCTAAGTTTCCTTGTTGGAAAGTGGGGACAGCAATAATATCTACCTCATAGGATTCAATGGCCTAATATTTGTAAAAGTACTCAGAACAATATCTGCTTCACAATAAGCACTATACACCTATTAAATAAAAATTAATATAACTATCCTAATTGTTTGTCATCAAGTCTCTGTTTCAAAATTTGAGTGAAAGGCATTAAGTGAGTTTTTTTTTTTTTTTAAGTGTGCCTTGCTGAAACCGATTTGGCTCAGTGGATAGAGTGTCATCCTGCGGAATGAAAGGTCCCAGGTTTGATTCTGGTCAAGGTCATGTACCTTGGTTTTGGGCACATCCCCAGTTTTGTGCAGGAGGCAACTGGTCGATGTTTCTCTCTCATTGATGTTTCTCTCTCATCGATGTTTCTAACTCTCTATCCCTCTCTCTTCCTCTCTGTAAAAAAAAATCAATAAAATGTATATTTTAAAAACTGGACAATGGACCTAAATAGATACTTTAAAAACAAACAAACAAACAAACAAACAAATAAATAAATAAATTATGTGCCTTGGTTGCAAGGCTCCTCCCAACCGGACCCTGGTCTGGGTGCATGTAGGAGGCAACCAATCAATGTTTCTCTCCCATTGATATTTCTGTCTTTTCCTCTCTCTTCCAACCTCTCTAAAAATCTATTGAAAAATACCCTCAGGTGAGGATTAAAAAAATTTTTTTATTGGAATCATAAATTTTATTTTATTTTTTTAATGTTTTCTTTTAATTGATTTCAGAGAGAAAGGGAGAGGGAGAGAGACAGATAGAAACATCCATGATGAGAGAGAATCACTGATCAGCTGCCTCCTACATGTCCCACACTGGGGATTGAGCCCAAACTGGCCAGCGCTGGAATCATGGAATCATGAATTTTACAGCCAAACAGGCAAAAAACAAACAAACAAAAAAAAACTCAATAAAGTATATTTTAAAATAAAATAAAATAAAAATAAGAATCTTCTAGCCCAGTCCGCGTAGCTGGCACATAGTGTTTAATGGCATAGGCTCTTCACTTCTTTCCTCATTGTACCCCCTGCTCAAGGACCTATGTGGCTCCCTATTGCTAACTGCACCAAATTCAGTTTTTGTGCCTGAATTTCAAGACCTCTGTAACCTGGCAACTTTTGGTCCCTCTGTTCCATGCATTCTCAATAAGAGCAATATTGGGGGGGGGGGAATATTACTCTTCATGGCTATAGAACATAAACAGATCTATAGTATATAACAGACATACAATATGTCTGTGATATTAAGATTTCATTGGAGTGGATAATTGGGGGGGGAAATGTCTAAAAAAGATTCCTGAGCAATAATGAAAAAGAGTTTAAGAAATAATGATTGAGCCTTATTTCCCACAAGAGAAAGAGCACTCTCAGCATAAAGGGTTATGGAAGTCATGTTGTTTTTTTCTTTTGGTCATAAGTCTCCACAGGAGTAAAATGAAGGAGATGCCCGTAGCCTCTGAGGCCCTTTTCAGCTCTGACAGTTGATGCCCCCAATAACTGAGTGTTTACCAGGATGACACGTAGCCTTTGCTCTTTTCATATGTGAATTTCCTTCCCACCCACTGGCCTTTATTGACTCTTGCCATTCACCTCCCCTACACTTCTCCTCCCTTTTTATTTTATTGTTATTGATCTCAGAAAGGAAGGGAGAGGGAGAGAGAGATAGAAATAGAAATATCAATGATGAAAGAGGATCACTAATTGGCTGTCTGCATGCCCTGCATGTGCCCTGACCTAAAATTAAACCGTGTTCATAGGTTGACACCCAATCACAGAGCCACCCCCTGTCTGGCCAGGCTTCTCCTTCCCTTTTAGAGACACTCCTCCTTCCCATTAAGCATCCTTTCATAACACTCTCTCCCTCCCACCTCCAATCCAGGTTGTCCTGGTGTTACCATGTGTGAGCTGTGATTGAAGTGATGAATCGTTCCTCAGAGCCCTAGGACTTGAGATTTCTAGCTGGTCCCCAGCATGGTCCTTGGCATAGACAATAAGTATTTGTTGAGTGAATGAATTACATCTCTGTATCTCTCTCCTTTTTCCTCTCTGTGCCCTTTCACAATGTCCAAAGAAGTAAATAACTCTTTGGACAGGGAAGGTTATTCTAATTTGGGATTCCCCAAAAGCAAAGTGTGGGTGGGTCAAGGACTGGAGTGCAAGTTGTCTCTTTGGGAGCTGCTCTAGGAAACATTTAGGAGTGGAGAAGTGAGCTAAGAAAGTAACAGATACCAATAAAAGTTGTGCTATTAAGCAAGTCACCACAATGGACAGCCATAGTGTTTGTCTTGCTTAATTCAACTGGAGAACTCTTAGGAGCCAATGTAGTTACCTGACAAGAGAGGAAGGAGCTGGGGTACTCATCCACCAAATCCCATTAGACTATGGCTGAGAGCTGCTCCTTGGGAGTATTACCTACATGGGAGTTCCAGCCGTCAGCTAGTGAGGGCATAGCGGTCGCTGACCTCGAGAGAATGTCCTCTGGCAAGGAGGCCTGGGCCCTGGCAGTTGATATTCAGATCAGAAACCAGAAATGTGGTTAAGGTCAAGGAACATGGCAGGGCTCCTACAGCATCTGCTGCGGGGACACAGAGAGGAGTGAGGGAGAGAGGGCTGCTGGAGACCTTTCCCTTCTCCCCGTCCCCAGGTCCTAAATGAAACCCATCTCAAGTAGATGAAAGAACTACCTTACATTTGTAAAACACCTTGCGTTTTTTTAATTCTTCTTTCACTTTTCTTTTCTTCTTGTTTTAAAAAAATATATATTTTTATCGATTTCAGAGAGAGAGAAACATCAATGATGTGAATCATTGATCAGCTGCCTCCTGCACGACCCCTATTGGGGATGGAGCTTGCAATACCAGCATGTGCCCTGATCAAGAATTGAATCCCGGTTCGTAGGATGGTGCTCAACCACTGAACAGTGCCAGCTGGGCTTCTTTCACTTTCCTGTCACCTCAACCCCTGAGGGGATATCCCTGTGAGGCTGCACATCTCCCTGATGGGCCAATGTCCATCCCCGGAGGGGGTTTCTGAGTTACAGAATGTCCTGCCTGAAAGGTGTTGTGACTCCACTTGACAGATGAAGAGACCTTAAACCCCCTTTAATCAGGGACAGAACTGAATGAGAAGATAAGCAGAGGCCAGAGCTCTTTCCCCCTCCTGGAGGTGTGCTTAGCGTGTTATGGTCTAGTTATCCCTCTGCTCTCTACCCTCTGGCTCCTTCCTGTCTGTTAGGACCAACCACTCCTGAACCACTCTGTCCCCAGGCTGCCCCTCATGCAGCTCCGGGAGCAAAGTCAGAGACAAGGAAACAGCTGTGCTTGGCACAGGGCCCTCTGACACTCCTCCCCACACGCAATGGAGAAGGAAAGGCCCCAAGCTTTAGACTAGTCTGCCACTAACTTCCTTTAGGGACCTGGCCAGGCCATCTAGCCTCTTGACCCTCATTTGCCTTGTGTGTACAATAGTTCGACTCTCCTGTGGACATTGAGAGATAAGCTGGGAGAAAGTGTTTTGTCAGACTGGAAAGTGCTATAATAATAAGATATCATCATTGTTGTTGTTCATCGTGTCTCCTTTCTCCGAACTAATGTGCTTGTGACAGAGCTACACCATAGCACTTCCATTTTCAATCACCCTTGAATTTCAAATGACTGGCCAGTCCCTGCAGATGCTGCGTTCTTTCTTGTCTCCATGCTTCTGTCTCTCTGTCTCTGCTCCTGTTGGCTAATCTTCTACCAGTCCTTCAGTCCTCCCCTCCAGGGACACTTCTTCCAGGCGTTCTTTCCTGACTACCACCCTCTGCAGTCTGCACAGATGCCCACTTCTGGAAGCCCATGGTTCCCGGAGCTCCTCTCTGTTGCTTGCTGCCTTCCTTGTCTCACCCACCAAAAGGGAAACTGCAGCAGTGCATTATTAAAACTCTGCATTATTCTGTTGGGGCTGCCATTACAAAATACTGGGTGGATTAAATTACAGACATTTATTTTTTCAAAATTCAGGAGGCTGGAATGTTGAGATCAAAATCAAGGCGTCTTGAGCTGATTTCTTCTGAGGCCTCCTTGGTTTGCAGATAGCCACCTTCTTGTGTCTTCACATGGTTGTCCCTCTGTTTATTGTGTCTGTGTCCTAATCTCTTCATAAAATGACACTGGTCATTTTGGATTAGGGCATATTATATGGACTCCATTTTAAAGTAGTTACTTCTTTATTTTTTTAATGTTACAAATTTTTATTTAAAAAAAAAAAATCTTTATTGTTCATATTATTACAAATTTTCCTCATTTTTTTCCCCTCCATTGCTCTCCTCCACCAGATTCCCACCCCACCCTCTGCCCTTTCCTCGCCCCCCATTGTCCTCATCCATAGGTGCACAGTTTATGTTCAGTCTCTTTCCACATCCTCCTCTCCCTTTTTCCCCAAGAATCGTCAGTTCACTCCCCTTCCATACCTCTGATTCTATTATATTCAACAGTTAATATTTTTTTAAATATATTTTATTGTTTTTGTATAGAGAGGAAGGGAGAGAGATAGAAAGTTAGAAACATGGATGAGAGAGAGTCATCAATCAGCTGCCTCTTGCACACCCCCCACTGGGGATATGCCCGCAACCAAGGTACATGCCCCTGACCGGAATCAAACCTGGGACCTTTCAGTCCCCAAGCCGACGCTCTATCCATTGAGCCAAACCGGTTTCGGCTCAACAGTTAATATTGCTCATCAGGTTTTTTAATTCCCTTGGCTTTTAG